TATCTTTCTGGTATTCCAGTAGAATACCAGAAATTGGAATGGTAAATTGGCCACCGTTACGGTTCTAAAAGCTGACGTTTCGAGCGTTAGCCCTTCGTCGGAGCGAAGGGCTAACGCTCACGAAGGGCTAACCTTCGTCAGAGCGAAGGGCAACACTTTAGCGTCAAATAATCCATGAAATAACGAGAATTTCAGGAATTGTACACAGCCTAGCTTAGTCTTAACCCAGCCCCACACCGGGAAGAATAATCTCCACCATCAATTTACGTCACTAATCCACAACGATGTTGTGAAATTCACAAGGGCAGACAAAGTAGCTGGAGAGAGTCTGAGAAATCCACTTTGATGCAACTTGCCTGGAAGTACTGGCCACAACTGTCGCATCCCAGCCAATCTTCTCCATCGTCGTCATGGCACACTATGCAGACGTTGATATTTCTCCAACAGCGGACGGAACAAGTATTTCATTATCATTCACTTAAGTATGTCTTCTTTCTTATTGGGTCAGGTCTCATACTTTGACTCTTAACTCTATATCAGGATCAAACCCAATGCTTGGCAAGATTAAAGGATATGCAGTTTGGAAACAAGCTGTGACTTAGGTTACTTACTCGTGGATATCATCGTAACAACAGCCAAACACCATAGACGTTATTAGTGCACGTTCGGTTGCTATGTCGAGCATCTACGGAGGACTCTTCGCACAAACATCTAGCAAACTGAAAGAAACGATAGAAAACAGCAATCAATCATTAGGAAAAATTAGTGAAGAATATGCAATATTCCGTTAAATTCCTTTTAAGGCAGAAATAATTCAGTGGTTGCTATTTAATCGAATGCACTTTCTTCCTAGTTACCTTGTGAGGGTAAATATTTCGTACTTTAACACCTCATGATTTAATGTGAATAGTGACTTCTGTATTAAACTTAAAAACTAAATGTCGCGTGTGGGTGCAGAGCGTGAGACAAATGAGAACTCCGCACTTGTACATCCTTCTGTTTTAAGTGCACCAGCTCGATACAAGGCCAAGATAGAGAAAGCCAGCCCGTTTTGGCGTCAGCGACCTCACTACAAATATAATGACAGGCAACTAAAGGGTTACTTTATACTCAAAGTGACTGCCGTTTTAAATTGAAGGAAGAGCTTTTTTCACTTACGACTTAATAATTTTACACTTGTTATAAGCACTGAAAGTAGACATTGCATGCCTATCATGTTCGCTCTTCTGTTGGCAGAACAGGGAAAGTCAATAAGTCATGTCTACGGTACTTAGTCGCTACTACATAAATAGAGTTTACTACTGCGAGGAACGCTTTCGTATATTTTATGAAACCGCAGTACACATATATGATTTTCATTTATTCAAATTTATTGGCGGATTTAATACGAACTAACATAATGACCTGCTCCCAGTTGGCTTGTTAGCTCAGTCTGTAGAGCACTGCACCAGTATCGCAGAGGCCATAGGTTCAAATCCCGTACGGACCCAAAATTTTTTCAGGCCTTATTTCCACCTACTAAATAAGTAGGGTTTATTACTGCGAAGAACGCTTTCATACAATTTATGAAAGCGCAGTAAACATATATTATTTTCATATATTTACTGAGTCGTCGCCATCATAACGCATTCTAGTGGCTTAGTCAAAAATTGTCTTCGGTTTTTAAATGTCATCCTTTCGCGGGATTTCGCAATACTCGTACTCGCGGGTTTCATAATTTGCCCGCTGACCAAAATTACTGTTTACTCTTACCCTCGACGAACGCCATTGATATAGCGTCACCCAACACCAACATGGCGGATGAAGTCGGTTACCATGACGATAAGGAAATTTAGTCACGTGGGTGAAAACGCTCTATATGTCCGAAAGGACACACGAAAGGACTCCAAAGCACACTTCACTCTGATTGAGCAGAAAAACACAAAGATTTTCTGGCACCAATCAGATGACAGAACGACTGCGACCGTTTGGAACTAGTCTTGTAAGACAATGTCCCCAGGGGGCTCTTCTGCCCTTAACTTGAAATCGACTCACAGCCCCTGGGTCGTCGAGGATGCCTTAGATAGAGCCTTTCAGTCACTTATATCTGAAAATTGCAACAATTTTGTCAATGCCTGTGCAACCAGGAAGTTCAATGTGAGTTGTGCTGTGGCTTTTTATTCACTCTGCAACCCCGTAATAAAACCATGTAGTTATTGGAATTCAAACCCCTTATCTAATTTTATTCAGTGTGGCAAAAAACTTTTATTACATCAGTCACTAATACCATAGATGAAACACTATTTTACCTCTAATGTTAAACTCCCTATGAAAATGGCTGATTAGCTGTATAAAAGTATAAAAGACCCTCTGAGCGTCAGCTTTCGCATGTAATGCCACGTGACTTGCGATGTAAACAAACCTCCAAAGTTCGGACATTGGTCTCACCCACGTGTACAAACTCAGAGTCACTATTTCAAGTTTCCGTTGATATAGCCGGTTTTTTGCATGATCTATAGTCTCTAAAATTCAAATATCGAGTAGAACATCCATTGTTACCCACGTACTGTGCGTGGTCGGACCACGAGTCGCATATTTTGGCGAAAAAACACCCGAAAGTTCGAACCGTATATATATAAAAGGCTGTAAACGAAATGGTTACGACAAAACGATGTGCTTATGGTACTTGTACTTCTAATGATTCCCGATACCCCCAGTCTTGGAAAAGAAATTCAAATGATGATCCAGTTAAGTTTTTCCATTTTCCTGGGGCAGTTAAACAAAACTGAGAGACGGAAAAGAAATTCAAATGATGATCCAGTTAAGTTTTTCCATTTTCCTGGGGCAGTTAGACAAAACTGAGAGACGGAAAAGGTGGATTACTGCATGTCATCGCGGTGACTCGTTCGTTTTGTACGAAGGATAGTTAATTTGAAGTGTACACTTTGTTGGTGGAAATGGTCCAACAAAACAGTATCCTGATCCAATATCAGCTGTTGCCAGTAAAGAAAAGGTAAGTCTATCGGTTTTTCTGTTTATAACACTATTTGTCAGTTGAAACATTGCGTGCCGTGCATAAGTGATGCGGCTCAATCGCAAAAGAAAGGCATCTGATGAACGTGAAGCAGACAAACACAGAAGCAAGTTAAATTTGGGCTCATCCTCGGTGTAAAAACCTGTGAAGCTCACGAGTGACGTAAAACAAAGACAACAAAACATTATAAACAATAGCGTACAGCAAAACTATACCTCATGAAACAAAGAAAACCTCGTCAGGTTTTAACACCGAGGATGACCCAAAATTTACCTTGAACGATCTGCGGCGAAAACCCCTATGGGGCACCAAATGTATTTTTATTATTTAGAGTGGTTATTTGTATATAACCAAAACAAGTATGGTTATATGTAAATAACCACATTGCAGTTTGGTTATTTATAAATAACCACAATGAGACATTGGTTATTTATAAATAACCAAAACGAGACATTGGTTATTTAGCAAATAACCAAAACATGAATGTGGTTATTTGCTAAATAACCAAAATTGCAAAGTGGTTATTTGCTAAATAACCAAAACTGAAAATTGGTTATTTGCTAAATAACCAAAACTGAAAATTGGTTATTTGTAAATAACCAAAACTGAAAATTGGTTATTCGCTAAATAACCAAAATCATGGAAAATTGGTTATTTAGCGCAAAATTGATTATTTACCTAATTTGGTAGGGAGACGTAACAACCACGTGGCCTGTTTTCCCGCTCATTTGCTACGATGAGTTAACTGCCTCCCGGTTAGCTCAATGGATAGAGCACTGGACTGTTGCGCGGGAGGTCGAGGGTTCGAGCCCCGGACCAACACTCAACGTCGATCTCTCTCAACATGGCTTCCAACGATGACGTGGTGGCAAGAATTTCTGATGCATTGTGCAATGCACTTAGAAATTCTCAGCAACAGGTACGTCTCAAGGCAGATCGCTAGCGGTGCGTTGTCTTCCGAAATGTTGAATTGTCTTATTGTTGTTATTTCCTAGTTCAAAAATAGAAAGAAGTCCAAAATTCCTATTTAAAGGTCTCAAGAGACCACAAGAGTTTTTTTTCTTTGTCTGCAGCAGTCCATGGTGTACCAAAAATAAATTACGGGTACAATCTAGCATCAAACTCCCTTAAACTCATGTTTACTATTCTGAAAGGATAGTAAATATTTCGAAAGGCTTCCTTCTATTTTTGAACTAGGAAATAACAACGACAAGACATTTCAACAGTTCTGCCACATTCTTAGCCTTGAAGTCGCTAGTGTTCTTCTGAAGCGACATTTTGACCCTTATGATCTTCTTTTCGATATTCGAATTTTTTTTTAAGGAGTGTTAAAGCCGCATATATAGGGTCCGAACTTTCGGGTGTTTTTTTTTTACCAATATATGAGACTCGTGGTCCGACCACGTACAGTAAGTGGGTAAGAACAGATGTTCTATTCGATATTCGAATTTTAAAGACATGGAAGAAACCAGCTATGGGAACGGAAATCTGAAATAGCAACTACAAGTTCGTACACGTGGGTGAAACCAAAGTCCGAACTTTGGAGGTTTGTTTACATCGTAAGTCACGTGACACTACAAGCGAAAGCTGACGCTCAGAAGGTCAATCAGCGCCTCAGATTATTTTTAGGTTTACCCTATCCCTCTATGTTGGAAAGTAAATTAGGTCCAGTCCAGGTTCCATTATAAACATTTGATCTTACAACTCGGGACTGTACTTACAAACGCAACACAAGTGAGGATTTCTTTCAGAAGCAGAAGCAGTAGATCGCACAGCCCATATGGCTATGTGCGCTTACATCAGTGAATCACGCCTAGTCACGCTTATAGTCACGCTCTACTTGTTAAAAGGAAAGTGCGTCATATACGCAGCGAAAATGAAGGTCGATTCATCCAATCAATTTGAGGATAGTGGAAAGTAAAATAGTTTTCTTCAAAGTTTTGGTAACGCTCGAAATGAATATGTTTTTTTGATGTATTCTCATATATTCATGTGTTGATTGGTTTTATTTTACATCATCGAAGATCTTTCCCACTACTAACATTCTTGGCACCTCTTTCAATATATCTCACAGATCACGAAAGAAGTTTGGTGTCAAACTACCTTTAATGGAAACTGAAAACATATGCAACGAGTCGCTATGCGTGACACGAATAACATGCCCGATAGGCGAAACTAGATTCGAGAAACCTAAATTAAATACAAAATCGTTTCTTGTACTACAAAAAGAAATTTTCCAAACCTTAGTTATTCATAATGTTTGTTATCCAATCTCCCACTATAGTTCGTGATTTGATCTAAAACTAACTATCAAAAACTAATTTAAAATATTTTTAAAGTCTATGCCAACTAGACTATGCCAAATAATAACACTCCTTAGGAGCGTTCAGTCAATCAATTTCTTCGATTTTAGAATTATATTTGTTAGGGGCAGGCATTGCACTCGAAGGTCCATTGCCACAGCTGTTTCCCCGCCCTTGTTCCGGGGTCTCCTGTTCTTTTACCTTGGACATGATTGGTGAACACACTTGCTGTAGATCTCTTTGCTTTTCTTCATACTCCCCTTTTTCAGCTTCTTGATTGCGTTCCAACCAAGCAATCACTTCTTGGGCCTTGTTCTTCGCTATCTTCTTATCTTCAGGATCAAGCTTGGGATCATTTTTCGGATCTTCTACGGCTTGTTTGACTTGGTGTGCATAGCTCTCCAGGTTGTTTCTTGCATTCACCTTGTCGCGTTGCTTCTCGTCTTCTTCCTTGAACATCTCCGCTTCCTTCACCATGCGGTCGATGTCCGTTTTGGACAGCCTTCCCTTGTCGTTGGTGATAGTGATGTTGTTGCTCTTACCAGTGCTCTGATCCTTGGCGGACACAGTTAAGATCCCGTTGGCGTCAACATCAAAGGAGATCTCGATCCTGGGCACACCTCTTGGCGCAGGAGGGATTCCATTCAGATCAAATCGTCCCAGTTGATTGTTGTCTCTTGTGAAGGCACGTTCCCCTTCAAACACCTGGATGGTAACAGCTGGCTGATTGTCTGAGTAAGTTGAGAACTCCGACCTAGAAACTTGCGCTGGGATCTTTGTATTGCGTTCAATTATAGTGGACATTACCCCACCGGCAGTTTCAATCCCGAGACTCAAGGGAGCAACGTCGAGTAGCAGGATATCCCTGAGTTCGGAAGGTCTGTCTCCGGACAAGACCGCTGCCTGGATAGCGGCACCATACGCCACGGCCTCGTCGGGGTTGATTGATTTGTTCAGCTGTTTTCCTTCGAAAAATTCTTCCAATAGACTTTGTACCTTTGGGATTCTTGTAGATCCTCCAACGAGAACCACGTCATGGATTTTACGTTTGTCAAGCTTTGCATCGGCAAGGGCAGTTTCCACTGGGCCGAGGCATGAACGGAACAGATCCATACAGAGCTCTTCAAATTTGGCGCGGGTTATCCTGGAATAAAAATCAATTCCCTCAAACAGTGAATCGATCTCTACATTAGCCTGGCTGTTTGACGAAAGAGTTTTCTTGGCTCTTTCGCAGGCGGTCTTCAGGCGACGCAAGGATTTTGGGTTGGTTTTGAGATCTTTTTTGTGTTTCTGCTTGAAATCTGACACAAAATAGTCCACCATGCGATTGTCGAAATCTTCTCCCCCAAGATGGGTGTTGCCAGCTGTGGAGAGGACCTGGAAGAATGACCCTTCGTCGATGGTTAGCACAGAGACGTCAAAGGTACCTCCTCCAAGGTCGAAAATCAACACGTTCTTTTCACCGATGAGGTTTTTCTCCAAACCGTACGCGAGGGCGGCGGCGGTGGGCTCATTAATGATTCTTATGACATTCAGCCCGGCTATAGTTCCAGCATCTTTGGTGGCCTGTCGCTGTGAATCGTTGAAGTAAGCTGGTACTGTGACAACAGCATCCTTAATAGTCTGTCCCAGGTAAGCTTCGGCTACCTCTTTCATCTTGGTCAGGACCATGGCACTGATCTCCTCTGGTGTAAAATTTTTCCCCGAGCCTTTGTACTGCACGCGCACTTTTGGTTTCCCACCCTCGTTGACTACTTCGAAAGGCCAATTTTTTCTGTCGGATTGAACCAGGGGGTCGTTGAATTTCCTACCAATAAGTCTCTTGGCATCAAAGATTGTATTGTTTGGGTTGAGAGTTGCCTGATTCTTGGCTGCATCGCCTATCAAGCGCTCCTCTTCACTGAAGGCGACATAGCTAGGGGTCGTTCGATTTCCTTGGTCGTTCGCGATGATCTCAACTTTACCATGTTGAAAGACTCCAACACAGGAATAAGTTGTTCCAAGGTCGATACCAATCGCGAGAGCCAATTCGTCTGACATCTTCTGTAGCTTTTGAGGATTTTCTTCTACTCTTCGTTATTGCCGAGCTTTTTTCAATTTCGACAAAATGTAAACCTCGTCACCAAACGATCTCTTATTTATATCACTCATTCAATGAGAAAACTGTGCACAAGATTCCTAAGAATAGAATGATTACTGCTTACATCATTTTTTGGAGAACAGCCAATCAAATCTGTTTTGCTTTTGGTTAAACATATTTATGAGCCTAACAATCAGTGATCGGAATAACTTTCTTATTTTAACAAAGCTCTTGACGATGCTTTAATCATTCCGTTTTCGGTTTCAGATGGATTCATGCCATAGGGGAGATCATGTTTCAGTTCGTTTGTGTAAAAGAAAAATTGTGCTTGAGCCGTGAGAAAGGAACTTTAATCTACTTCTCAACCAAGTAGAGTTATAGATTATAGGGAATATGAGTAATATCAGAGTCTATTTGGGAGGTTTCCCTGAACGTCAAGTGTAGTTTGGTTATTCGCAACTTTTTAATCCCAAATTTCTCCAAATATTTTCCTCTCGGTCCAGCCTCCCACCTCTTCATCGCGATCGGCGTGAGTGGGTATGTGGTGTAAGATGCCACATATGTTTCTAAACCAACATGGCGGCAGCGCAATTATCTCTCTTAGTGTTAGGAATACTGGTCCATATTAACTATCTTGCGTCTATATTCGATATTTATTTTACTTCTCCCCTAGTTCATGGTATGATCCCTTACCAATCGACTCTAAAAGCGCCCGCTAAGCGGTTGGTTTTATTTGTTGCCGATGGATTACGAGCAGACAAATTTTATGAACTTGACGAACACGGAAAAACTCGCGCACCATATTTAAGGGATTTAATCGAAACGAAAGCTAGTTGGGGTGTCTCTCACACACGAGTACCCACAGAGTCTCGGCCTGGACATGTTGCTCTCATTGCTGGGTTCTATGAAGATGTTAGCGCCGTGGCCAAAGGTTCGTGATGAAGTTGCTTGTAGTACAGCCTTAAGCCTTATACTTATCACGTCTTATCGTCAGTATTTAGTGAGAATATAACACCCTTACAAGCCTGAGGTTTGGAGAGAAGTTGCTATTATTTAGAGTGATGTCCATGATACAGATAGACATGAAACAGGAAGCTCTTTGATCTCAACCCTTCTTTCACTTTTAGCTGGGAGAACTACCCATTAGTAAGACCTATGATTGGACTATGAAAATAGCAGTTACTTTCGAAACCAACTTTGGGAAGATTGTAATTAGAAGATCCCTCTGACGAGCAATTTCATTATCATTTCTCACTCTGCATTGAGAAAGACCCTGTATTGTTGTTTTGGCAAATGATATGTCATTTGCATATCTTTACTGTTACAGCGTAGTTAATCATAGTTAATCGAGGGGATTAAATAAAGCGAAACTATGGTTACAGTAGCTTTATAACACTTTGGCTCTGTTAGAAGTCAGAAGCTTAGTTTCTGACAAAATTAAAACTTCATCCATTTGTTTTTTCCCCAAAGGAAAAAAATATCTTGGTTTAGGTATGACTTAATCTGTATTTTTTTCAATTTTGCTTTCAGGTGGGCAATATATAATAATTTAATGTATTTGTGCATGATCCTTGCAGTAAAGAGCACTATTTAAACACTATTGCTTAAATAGTGCTATTTACTGTGAGGATCGTGCACAAATACGTTTCTATAACCGCAGTTCAGATAATTGAATTTCATATATTTGTTGTGTTTGATATTATAATTAATCACACTTATTTCAATATTCTCGCTAATGAATGTTGTGACTCTGTCACCCATATATGGCATAAGTGAACCATTTTACTCTTCCTTTCCAAAATTTGTTAAGTAGTCAAAGAATACAGGATCCAATTGCAAACTGCTAAGCTTTCGTAGGTTTGCTTTAGGATGAGAACAAGATTGACCTGCAGTAAGAACATGGGAAGAACTTTGTATTTACATGTGTAAAAACAGTGATAATTTCAGTATTAAATTTATGATGGACAGAACTTGCACTTGATATTAAGCAAACACTTAATAATACATTGATTTGTTTAGTGGAGCATTGTTGTTTCTGCTGAACCTTTTAACTCCCAAGATCTGATTGTTAATTATCCTCTCTGGCTGCTACACATTTCCTTGTAAATGTCTTACAAGAATTTTGTGTTAGATCAAGACAGCAACTCGAACATGATACATTTGAGTATTCTTATCACCTGTTTGCTACATTGTTTAGTTCTTATTAACTGAGCGGGAGGTCTGTATGGGAGAATCTTGGCTGAGGTCGCTAGTACAGACCGAATGCAGTGAGGTCTGTACCAGTGACTGAGGTCAAGATTCTCCCATACAGACTGACTAATAAGATGTTTATTATATGGCTGTGTCTTACAGTATATGCCAATTTTTTATATTCTTTGTACCTTTTTTTTCTAGACTGGTCTAGATGCCGGTCTAGATGGGAAAATCTAGACCGTTTTCAATATTGATTTCAGCCAATCAAATTCGTGAATTCAGTAGTTCCCAGTCCTAGTGAGACACAGCCATATGATAATTACGGATATTGTAAGGAGAGGTTACTTGTCAGTCACTTCTGGGAGTTAAAGGGTTGATTAACTTGAAGTTGTCGCTAATCCATAGACCTTTCTTGTATTCCTCCTAAATATTAACTTGTACATTATGAATTAGTGCTATTGCAAAACTTGTTTACGTCTTCGAGCATCTCCTTCAAACAGCAGCGTTTGATTCCAAATCTTTTCTCCTTGATTGACTTGCATTTTTGAAAGGTTTCCTTCCAATGAATGAAGTTTCTTGAACAAGTTACTCAAAATGAAGATTTGGGACACCTGCAATTCAAATCAAGATGTCATGATTTCTTATTTATACCTGACCAATCAGAGCAAATAAACAAATTCTTATCAATAAGGATTTTATTTTCCAGCATCAAGTGAGGTGAAGATAAAACAAACAAACAAAAAAACAACAACGGGCCTCTTGTAGCTATTCCTGCCAATATTTCAACGCTTGGGCTTCCTCCCTGAGTCAGTTTTTTCACTCCGTGGAGTGATTAACAAGTATTTTCTCTTAACAATATCTAAACATTGTCAAGCAGACATTATGAAAAGAAAGAATAGCATAATAAACATCAAACAATGTTGTTTGATTGAACACCAAATTCTCAAAGGTGTAATTATAAGAAATATATAGCAGACAGTAAGGAGAACTGATTTTGAGATCATGGTTGCAAAAGGCCTAGTTTACCCCTTCTCTTCCCTCATTATACACCAGCCATGCAGGCTAGAGGTTGGCTGGAGCTATTTCAATCTCTATGGATGTCGCCATCCAAACTCTTCAAATAAGTTTTAAAATATATTTCAACATGTTTAAAAAGTATTAGATTTGGATGGAGGCCTAAAACCACTGATAAAATTAAACTTTACAAATCTGAGCTTTGGTGAATCAATGGCATCAGTAAGGATAAAATTATCCCAGATAATGCCATTGATTTACACAGTAGTTTGCTAGTAACCCTGATGTCAGTATGGTTCTCTCTATTCTATTTTCTATATGTTTCCTAAGGTGCAGAGAAGGAGAATTTGTTTGACAATCAAGAGCTTCTTTAGTTGTTGATCATTTTCTTTATTCTCATGACCTTAATGTTTGATTTAAGGGTGATATTGTAAGGAGAAATTAGCTGCTAATCACTCTTAGGTGTCAAAGAGTTTAGGTCTCGCCCAAATTCCAATTCTATTAGAAATGTTACAGAAGGACAACAGGCACAGATTATTCACCCTATTATTTGATGCTGTTTCCTTTTTCTAGGTTGGAAAGAGAACCCAGTGGAGTTTGATTCTACTTTTAATGAAAGCAGATACACATGGGCTTGGGGAAGTCCTGATATCCTACCAATGTTTGCAAAGGGGGCCAGTGGTGACCATGTTTTTACATCCATGTATGAAGATGTTGCAGAAGATTTTGCAAATGAGGATGCTGCTAAGCTTGACACTTGGGTGTTTAATGAAGTAAGAAACTTCTTCAGTGCTGCAAGAAATAATGAAACTTTGAAGAGGATGCTTCATGAGGAGAAAATTGTATTTTTCTTTCACCTTCTAGGTAGGTGCCTTCCTTAAACAATAACAACTCCTGCACTTCTTGCCTGTAAGGTACAAAGTATCTTCTTTTGTTTTGTTTTATTTGTGGTCAAGTAGTTGTAAGGTAGTATCCCATGAGGTTTCAGGATTTAAAAACCTCTAAATACTGTACTACACATTCAAATAGTCATTGATCTTTCTTAGTTACCATAACAACACTTTTAACTTTCTTGAAATATTTTATTTAAAAACTAATCAAGTCAGCTTATAGTGTCACTGGATTTTAATAGTTGTACACTTTATAGATGATAACCACTTCGTGGTTCACAGGATTCTTGGGTGATGCTTTTTGATATTCTTAGTAATAAACCAATTAAACCACCTTAAGGGGCAGCACGGTTTTGTAAAAACTATAGCATATCAGGTCTACCTAGATTTTATCAGGGCAAAAAGTATCGTCTGACTTCTGTGATTATTTTCAGGAATTGACACCAATGGCCATGCACACAGACCAACCTCCAAAGAATATCTCAGGAATATTGCTGTTGTGGACAAAGGGGTAAAAGAGATGGAAAATGTAATTGAAGAATTTTATGGTCATGATCATGGAACAGCATTCGTGTTGACAGCTGATCATGGTATGACTAACTGGGGGTCCCATGGGGCAGGACATCCTCATGAAACACTGACGCCCTTAGTAGCTTGGGGGGCTGGTGTACAAGGACCAATGGCTCCTGTACGCAGTGTCGATATTGTGGAGGAAACAATAAGGTGGAATCTTGGTCATCTGAAGAGAATAGATGTCAATCAAGCTGATATTGCACCGCTGATGACTTCTCTGATTGGTGGGTTTGTATTTAACAAAATTCATCAGCTCAAACAGCTCTCTTTCTATTGAAAAATTTTCATTTTCCTATTTTCAATTGACTTGACAAATAAATGAAAAACATTGCTGAAGGGTGCTTTTTGCACAGCATGATCATTATAAGTTATTCTTCTTTTGCCATGGGATAAACCCTTTATCAATTTACCTTTTTCCAGTAAAGATGGCTGGATATTGGGGTTGTTCCTCACCTGTGCTTTCATTTTGCATGATTTTTGTCTCTGTTGTATAGTGTATAATCCTGCCATCATAACCTCTTACTTGGTTGATAATGCACATATCCTTACCTTATGTGAAACACAACTTGCATGCTGAAAAGATCACAAGTGTCTTTTTGCCACTCTTGATGTTATTTCCCTCCAAGTGTACAAACATGTCACAATTGAGCATATGACCTACATTTGAAATTGCTGCAAGTCTTCCTGAAGGTTAGTGGTAGAACTTTCAATTGGCACATGGAAAAATATGGGCTTTGTACCCACTATTAGGAACCACTAGGTCCCACTCCCATTGCCCCTCTTTCTGCATGCATGCTGTTCTTTTCATTCCTTTCTTATAATAACAGTTTCTTTTCATTCCTTTCTTATAATAACAGTTTCTTTTCTGATCAGGTGTTCCATTTCCTCTGAACTCTGTGGGAATTTTGCCATTGGACTATCTCAACAACTCCGAGCAATACCTGGCAGAAAACCTCTTCATGAATTCACAGCAGATTCTTGCTCAGTATGATGTGAAAGAATTGTTCAGAAAGGAAACTTCTCTGTGGTTTCAGCCCTTCTCTTCCTTGGCAGGTATGATCCCTAACACTTTCGGTTTATACTGCAGGGGGTTCTTATTTTCTTAGTGCCAACATGACAGGAGGCCTTAACAAAAAAATAAAGGGGGTAGGTTACTAAAGAAACAATGGTGGGGCATCAGTGGTGGGGAGAGGGGGAGGGGGTACAACAAGATAATTTGGTTTTATCAACTGAGCTGATAATGTTCCAGGCTGACTTTCCAAGTGTTACCCCTTTGTCTGTACCAGATCAACAACAACGTTAGAGGATTAATATTAGTATAATTATATTTGATCATAAATAATATGATGACAGACCTCACACTCTTAATCAGCCCTCTGGAAAAAATCATAAAATCTCCCCTTCACTCTTCCTGGCAGTGACTCCCATCCTGGTTCTTTTGCAAATACTGACTTGAAATTGAGATGTTTTTCGTTGGTTCTGTTTGTTATTTAGGTGCAAAGAAAACAGGAATGATTCGCGACATAAAAGAGTTCATGCGAGCCACGAAGTATAAAGAAGCCGAGAGCCTAAGCAGAGATCTAATCAATCTTGCATTGGAGGGACTCAATTACTACCAGAACTACGACAGAGTGTTCTTAAATTTAGTGGTCACTCTTGGATTTTTGGGATGGATATTATGCATCATCCTACAGATTGTCGAAGATCATAGTGAAGTCATCAAAGAGGCGTCCAAACTCGGTAAAGAGAACCTTCAGCCATTGGTGAAGACAGCGCCTCTGGACACCGCTACTTTGGTTCTCGCTTTTCTCGCGGTGATTCTTTTAATTATTCAAAAAGCACCTTGGATGTATTATAGCTACTGCTTAATGCCTTTAGTATTTTGGAATCGCATTGCCAAGAGACTTCACGTGGTCAGAGCTGCCTGGAGCTATATCCGTGAAAAACAGTTGCAGCATAGAGTTCTATTTACCTTTTTGTTCGGTAGTTTCTCGTTAGAGATTCTTGTCATGAGCTTCTTCAGGCGAGAGATTCTCTCTGTAGGTCTTGTGTGTCTTGCTCTGTGGCCGTTCACCACTCAATTGTACAAAACTTGCACGCCATCTGTAGCAGGCTGGATGAGCCTTAGCTTTGCTCTTTCCGTGTTTCCTCTTCTACCTGTTGTCGGACGTGAGGCCAACTATTTCCTGGTGACTGCGGCAGGATTCTTAACTTTGATCATTTTTTGTTCGCTGTTGTTTTACGTTTCCACCGTATCTCAGTTAATGAACACGGAATTAACAAAATCGTGTAAAATCCTGCTCCTTCAAGCTCTACTCACGGCACTAGCAATTTATATCGTGAACAGTACAGCAGCAAGTTTAAAACGAAAACTCGGACTCCCGTTAGTAAACCAGCTTGGCAGTTGGACTATTCTTGTGTCATCCTTTCTGTTACCACTGATCAACTCGAGTAATTTAACGATACGACTGTCGAGTATAGCTATGGCGTTTTCCTCATTGTATCTGTTGATGAGCACTGCCTACGAAAGCCTGTTTTTGCTAGTTCTGTCGCTGCTTATGGGTGCATGGCTTTTGTCTGAACACAAACTCTCTGGCAAAACTCTCGACGCGCTGTTAGAAACGCAACTAAGCAACGCCAGCTCCACGACCACCTATCAGCCAGCTTGGAAGGCCCTTACGAGAGGCATGGACGCTCCTGTGATGAGAAAACTCACTTTAGAGGACCTTCGCTGCGCTTATTTTTTCGTTTTCTTCATCGTAGTGGCCTTCTTTGGAACAGGAAACATTGCTAGTATAAATAGCTTTGACCCTGCGTCCGTTTACTGCTTCTTGACTGTATTCTCGCCCTTTGTTATGGGCAGTTTACTACTCTGTAAAGTTCTCATTCCGTTTGTGATTGTAACATGCGCATTCGACGCAATACACGTAGTGCTCTCGATCCCTGTTCAAAGTCTAGTGTTAGTAGTGCTAGTGATGACGGATTTAATGGGACTGCATTTCTTTTTCCTTGTGCAGGATAGCGGCAGTTGGCTGGATATTGGAACAAGTATCAGTCACTTTGTCATCATGATGGCTTTTATTATATTCTTGCTTCCAATATTCGGTCTGGCTAGGCTCTTTACAGGGGCTTCCCTACCGTTCAGGACGAGCAAGAAAATAGCTTAAAAGGCAGAACACACGAGGCCATAATATGCTGAAGCAGGTTCCCCGCGCCAAATCGCTCCCCCCTCCCTTTTTTCGTTCAACCCGTAAGTACCCGCAAAACTCGTCGCTGCGACTTGTTTTAAGGAAAGAATGCTGTTAAGGAGATACAGATTTTTATGAAAAAAATTCTATGTCACACGAAGTGAATTGTCACCGAATGTGTTCTGACCTGAAGTACGGTAGGCTCAAGCCGTAAGGAAACTTTAGGATATGACTGAGTATCGTGAAATAATGAAATAGTAACTTATAACTGCAGAAACAAAAGGAACATTGGATAGTCAAAAGTTGGAACAGGTGCATAAAGGTGGTGAAATTTCAAACGCATTGTCTTTGGGAAATTTGAAATACAAAGGACCAAAACTTTTCAAGCTTACACATTTTTCTTGAAAATTTTATCCTTAACGCTTGAAAATCAAGATAGGTATCTGCTCTGTTAAACAATGAGATTTTCAATAAACAAATATTTTCAACGAGGCCCTCTAGTAAAATTAAGAAACAACTATCGATGCAACATAATGACGTTAAGTTTATTTCAAAGTTTTTCAGTCCTTAACGACGCTTAAAATGAGTAACAACCACTTTGCTCTTAATTCCAGCAGATACATCGCACTTTCTGCGTAATTTTTAGCTGTTAGGATTGCAATCCTGACTTCAAGTAGTTAACTCTTCCACTCCCGAAGTCTCATTTAGTAATTCTACTTCAGTACTGTCTGCCATACAATTCCTATGATGTTTGTTTGGAGAATTCGGTATTGGATCAACTAATAATTCTCCAATTGATATTTTTCTTTATTCTCATCTCATGTCTGCTTGATATTGTGTTGATACTGTTCGGAGAAATTCTGCCTTGATCACTCACTGGAGTTGACGCCTTGTATGCTCTATCATGTGACCAAGCAAATATAGGGCTCTGTTTTTTAGTCTTATTTTTTAAGTTTTCTCTTAAACGTCACTTAAATTATCGACCGAACAGAGGTTGTTTGTCGCATCACTGTGAATAAAATATTATCAAATCCTGTCAATTTTGTTCAGTAGGTACGCATGAAGCAAAATATTCTTGAAACATTTTTACGAGGTTTCCAAATCCATGCCATCAACAGATTGCTTCTCTATTTTCTGTTTCTCATTCCTCGTTTATCTAATCCATTTACCCTTCCCCCAACCTCCTTTATAGTTACCTAATTCAATCCATAATTTTCCATGGTTTATATCCCTTTCTTCAATCTCCACAACTTATTTTTATTTTTCCTGTCTATCATTAAACATCCCCGTCCCTCACTCTCTAATTCCTATTACCATTGTTACCGTTTCAAATTTTCCACTCAAAGTAAGCTTTCCCGAGCACATGCCTGGTATGATCGACACCTTTGCGTACTGTCAACCAATGGGAAGACACTATTCTCGCGAATCGAGTTTTGCCGCAATCATTGATACATTGATCGAGCGGCAACTTTTACTAGCAGATGCAGCTTGACAATAACCATGAAGCCGTTATTCGAAGTAGCTAGTCCTAATAATATCACATATTGGAGCACGCGAGCAAAGCGTCTTGTTCATTGCAAAAAATTTGCTGAAGTTGAGAATTTGCTGCTTGGTCTTCCTAACAGTCCGGAATTTCAGGAGAATGAAGAAATCAATCGGGCAAAAATTGCACTCGCCTGGCATAAAAAAGATGTCCAAGCGGTGTACAAGCTCATAGAGGTAGTTTGACAGTAATCTTTTACAGAGAATTCGTTTTCGCTTCAATGCTGTACGCGTTTTGTTGTACCTTCCAGCAGTTGCAGGTTGTTAGTTTCGCGTTCTAATTTCTTCTGGTAATTCGTTCATATCCAGGAAGGGATTTTCTCTCAAGGCGACGATCTTATTGAAATATGGGATGAAGCTCATGAACACGAGGCAAAAGCGAGAACTGCAGTCCAAAGATTTCGCGTGAGAAAAAGGTTTGTTTAACTTGGTATGATTAATAAGATTAAGATGAAAATTCCCACCGTACATCTTCGAGTTTTAAAGGAAGTCGTAACGAAACTTAAGATTGGTTTATTTGAGATTAAAAGACTCTGGAAAATGACTGATATATAGGTTTTCATTTAGAAACTCTTTATAGTTTTTTCATATTTGCTATTTACAACAAGACTTTCATTAAGGTGTCAAGGATTTACTTCATTCCAATCATATCTTTAAGGAGAAAAAGGAAATAATTATTTTGTGAATTCAGTTTAGAATTGATAAACGATGTAGATCGATTTGATGTTGTAAGTCCAGGAGTACCTTGCAGTGTTCATCAATCTTTCTGGGCGCAGAATATTTTCGTCTCCACGATTTGTCAACCAGATATAGATTAACTTCAGTGGGATCGAATCACTTCGAACAATCGGGACGTAAATCAGAAAGAGCATAGTTGAATCATTTTAGTGAGATATCCGCGGTGTATTCATCACTAAAGAATCCAATTTTTAAACCGTGTGTAATACTTCAATTCGAAAAGAATTGAAGAAAAATCATAGTTCCTCACAGTTGAGTTACCATTATTATTTACAGTAACTAATTTTCGCAATATCATTTTACCAGAATTATTTATCTTTATGATCAGACGATAGGTAGTTTATATACCACAGTTTATCGGTAAAGCACTGCCTTTATTCTTGTGGTACGCAGGATGTTTTCTCTCAAATTTAATCTGATGCACTTAATATTACGGATCGAATAGCAGATAAACTGCACTATGTTACTAGGAAAAACGTACGTCGTGTTCAATGAACGAAAGCAGGTCACACTTAGCTTGCCCGGTAAGCAATGGCGCTGGTAAACCCTAACCCACTCCGGCATGCTACAGCAATTACTTTTTTCCTTCCCGGTTGAAGGTACTCCTATTTTAACCCCTCTTAAACGGCTACCTTTCCATAACAGAAACGTCCACAAAAGTGGAACGACTACCATTGGATATGAATAGAACTGTTCTACCCTTCACCAAAAAAAAAAAAAAAAAAAGGGAAAACGAAAAAAGATGTCAGATTATGCTTTCTTCCTTCCTACAAAGGCCAGCCCTCTACAGCGGCTGTCTTTTTTATCTCTAAGGTCGCAGTTATGGAGAGTTTCGCCTGTATCATGTATCTGTTGTAATGATCAAGGAGTCATTGAAGGAGGACCTCTTATGCGTTGGTCCGTCTTCGTATCAATAAAACAACCTGCCTCCTCTCCCTTCCCCCTCCCCCCCCACCCAGTTGTCAGTAAAACGCTAGCAAATACCCCTCAACCCGCTCAATCTGGAAAAATTGCAGCCTGTACCCCTGCCATGCACCAATTAGCAACCGGACAGGTCGAGGTGTGAAAATCCTGTATGCTTGATTTACTTGTTTTCCAAAGATTCCCACCTCCACGGAGCATCTGCCCATCAGGTTTTCGCAAAAAGAGAGGGATCCCCAAAGAAACCAGTAAAGCACTGCAGGCGTGGCTCATGCAACGCATCAAGAATCCCTACCCTGACACAACTGAAAAACTTATGTTGGCTGAGCAACACGGAATTACTTTAGCTCAGGTAGCGTATCAGGGTTAAAAAAAAGAGAAAGAAAAATACTAATCGGGGATTGAGAATTGCACACAACATCATATAGGACCCTTTTTTAAGTTTCTGTAGAAAACTCAGAGGAGTTACGCCATCATTAGTCTCCTTATCACCATCCTTTGGGGTTTCATCGGACTTCCTTATTAGGGACGGCAGAGCTAAGGGGGCCGTGGGTACTTCACCTTATCGTATAAAGTACGGAAAAAATATGAACAATGAAAGAGAAAAAAAATGAAAAAAATCCATTTCACCGCAGATTATCCCCCGAGATCGCGATTTCAATGTTTTCCGGGGGAATATGGCCTAATACCCCCAAACAAACAGTTTTTAACTCGCGCTTCCGAGGACTGTTTCAAGCCTCCCCAGGCCTCGCCGTCCCTGCCGAAGGAGCAAAAAGCTAGGTAACATAAAACCAAGTGCAAATGACGAGCTTAAACAATTTACTTGAGAACTGAATTTTTCCGACGACCTAACCGTGAGTTGTCCTTGTGCAAATCAACGTCTGTAAGTCACGCCGATTGGCGATACTTGACGACTTAATTGATTGCCTTTCTCCCTAACTGACACGATTAAACTATCCTTGAATGGCGTAAACCCAATCAAGCAATTTAAGACGCATGCTGTGAACATGAATACAATCGAAAGATTAAATAGGAAAAAATCGGAACTGTTTCTGCTATTTTCGTTTAAGCTAAAGACCTGGTTTGCCAACGCCCGAAGACGTCTTCGAGACCGCAGCTTAATAAAATGTCCCAAGAAGAAGAAGAAGAAGAATATTTCGCAGCGGAGAACAAGACAAAAAGCGAGAAAAGACGTCGCTGTATTAGAAAGAAGCGTATCTGCTTCATCTCTCAACGCAGCTCATGCGCAAGAACAACCTCTGAGGTATCAAGCGATTGCAATGTTATAAATGAAAAAATTTGGTCGTATTAGTGCAGAGTAACACGTAGCCTATACCTTCTGATGATGTAATGATTTATAACTATTCGCCGAAGCGGAGGTGGCTAGCGGTTGTTTTTTTACCGAACCACGAAGTAGCAAGGAAAATATCCATCGCTAGTTACCTTCAAACTGAGGTGAATAGTTCTGGTATATACTAGAACAGGGATAATATAGTACAAAAGGATGATTTTAACTCGTTGAATTCCTGCAGCAATCAATTTTTTTGGGTGCAGTAGCGAAGGTTATTCGGAGTTTGAGTAGCCAATCAGAGTGCGCCTTCAACGCTATCCATTGTTTTAGTATATACTAATCAACAATAATAGAGGTATCCGGTCGTTTCGCCAACGAGTTGTTTCGCCAACGTCTCGTTCACCAACGTGTTAGGTTGATTCGCCAACGTCCTATGTCGATTCGCCAACGTCCTACTGGTCAATTCGCCAACTTTTTTTTTTTTTCGTTATTCTTGGATATATGACGTTGGCGAATTGACCAGTAGGACGTTGGCGAATCGACATAGGACGTTGGCGAATCAACCTAACACGTTGGCGAATCAACCTAACACGTTGGCGAACGAGACGTTGGCGAAACAACTCGTTGGCGAAACGACCGCAATTCATAATAGATGAGGCGTAGGTTAAGCAACAGAAAATAACTCAGCAGTATCTTTTTGGTGTTGTTGAAAGTGGACAAAACAAGTTGGAAAAGCGATACGGAAAGCGATATGTAAACATGCAAGCACTGAAAAGACAGCTCTTGACTAAGTTTAGGGTTAATTTGCCTGTATGCGTGTTCTAACTAGTTTAACGACTTTGTCAGTGTCAGCCGCCGCACAAAAGTCCTATACGACTGTGACGTTACTATCTAAAGTACTGAAGAGACAACTTTCGAGTTCTAGAAATCTTCACTTCCAAAATGGAGCTAAGTGCAAAGACTAACTTTTGAAAATAAGTAACATTTACAGCAAGCAAAAAAGTCATATTCATATGAAATGCCTTTCACTTACTCTCGCTCAGAGACAAAGGTTGTGAGGTACCTCACTGAAAAGCTTTTTGTCAACTACAGATTTGACATCGCTGATATAACGCCTCAAGTGATTTGGAGCAGCATCATGACTGACTTACCAGGAGTGTCCCTGGTGAATGGTATTCCGCAGTTTGCCGCGCCTGTTGTTCCTGTAAATGTTACTGTTCCCTATCAGTTGTCATGGTTACCCGCTGTACATCCTGCCGCATTCTTGCCCGTTCAGTTTTCACGGCCACCCTCGTACAATTGGTCTGGTAATGAAGTCGTCGTTGAGCCAACTGGCGAAGAGTACCTATCGGAATCTCATGTGACTTAAGTTGAGGTCACAGAGATAAAAACCAATTTTTAAGATGACAATCGGCTGAGGTTTCCATAGAATATCCACGTTCTAATTTGCAAGTAGGCCCTCACTATAAGCGCGTTTGTCCACCCTCGGAAAAATTTGAGACGAGTCGAGGATAGTTTTGCCGGAGGTCTGGTACTAATAATTTCAATGCTATTCTCGTACCCAGACCTTTCACGGCCAAGCGATTGTAAGGAACCTACATTTTAGTTACAGTGACACGGTAGGATCTAGGTACAGATATCTCGCTGAATTACATTTCTCGAGGGCTCTTACTTACCCTCGTGCGAAGGAACTTTTGTGCCGAAGCACTAATATAGTGAGGGCCTGATCGAAGGTTTTGTTCCGCCTTGCTCCCCCCTTTTTTTTTTGTGTTGTATGTCAGTGCTTCCGGTAATTGTTGTAGTGATTATAAGTCCTTTCATAATCAACGATCGTTCAGTTTTGAAGGTTTTATTCTTTTTCAATTTAGACAGTTTTAAATTTGAATATTCGTTCATCAGTCTCACGAGATGTCTCGAGGCACAACGACCGCAGAAACATAAGAGACTGTCTTGACCATAGTTTGTTAAAAAAAAAAATTCACGTTTTTATATTGTTGTGTTTTATTTTTCAAATGAAAAGCAGAGGGTCGATTTTTTTACTTCTACTATAGACTGTTGAATTTAAATTGACGGAGGATTGATGATTTGTGTATTTACAGTTTACATTTTGTTAGCTTTATGTGTTAGTATTGAAAATAGACAGACGTTTGTGTCACCTTTATTTTTTTCCTTTTGTAATGTCCTTGTCATCTATCAGCATGGTCTCATAACAGGCAAAGTGGTGCTGTGTTAGCCTGGTTGGTAAGCGGACAAAGCGGTTGGCGTGATAGCCTACGTGTAGGCTACCCACACCCCCAAGAAAAACGGGGAGGAAACGTTTTTCTTGGGCGGTGGGTACGGCTACACGTAGGCTATTGGTGTGATAGTATTTTTAACGATCACGCCTCCCACTCGCATTATCTCCCTACCCCTATCCCCTGCTTTTTTTAAGCTGGCCACAAAGACTAGTGCGTTGACAATAGTATTTCCTCTTACCTCGTTGTCTGCGAGAAGTCCGTAAGAAGTTGGCGGGTGACGTAATGGTTTACACCAAGGTGCAGGTGTAGGTTCCAGATTCACTGCTGCACTGTGCTAAGAGCGCTTGAAGAATGGCCTGAAACTTTCTCATGACTGAACGTTTAAAGTTTCATTAGTTCCTTTAAAAGACATTTGGATTGAGATAGTGATAAAAAAGTGCGATCTTCGTTGCGGTCTCCTTTGCAGCCGTTTTTTATCGGGGTGTCACTCACGAACACGTTCTACAAGCGAATGAAACTATCTCCGTTCCGACCGCTTGGTGACGGGAACGGCTTTGAGATTCTAGTAGCTCGGATGCATTAAAAGATACATTTTATACCTAGCCTATACAGTGCTCCTGTGTGCAATTGTAATTGGAACAATACCTTCCATGTTTCCCACGATCACGATCAGTCCGTTGACTAAATTGTTACTTTAAAAGGTAAACAGTTCACTTTCGCGAGCAAATGACACAGAAGAAAGGTGTACAAGGCCTAAGCTTTAAAGCTTGGTCAGTGTGATAGAAAAAAAAAGTGCTGATCTCGCTTTTTGCAGAAAATTGGGTGGGGCAAATGCCAAGGGGTTGCTCGAGGGATTTTGAAGTTTCTAATTGATCGACGCATTAAGAAATATGTTCAGAGATGTTAACGTGAATCGCTCACCGTTTCAATCTCCAGTGTATGCCCATACAGGTATCGTAAGAGTTTTCACTCCATTTTTGGTATCTTTTGGGTTGCTATGAAGGGCTATCGCGGAAAGTTGACATCTGTGGGGTTTGTTTTCCAATTTTAGGGGTTTCTCTTTAAATCAACCCCGAATCTAACGGGTTCTACAGTCCGCGATTTATTTCCGATAAGTTTTTACCATGTACAGTTTCCCCAGTGAGATCGCTCAAAAATTAATGGGTGGGTCATAAAACAGAATACATCAATGGGGAGGTGGTTTTCTAAGCGCTCGAAAACATATTTTCCAGCTAAACTGAGCTGTGAAGAAAGTCGACTCAATCATCAAAAGCGAATCTCCCCCAATGTGACAGACAGACGAAGAGACAAGCACTGAATTATTCACTGAAGGTGAATCATTGTTTTGGTGTAATTGCTCAGGTACTTGCGAATTGTTGTAAATTCCGTGAAATCATAAAAAAAAAAAAAAAAAAAAGCATCAGGCACATCTTTTTTTTTTTCCCAAGAGCGTTGATTACTCGTATCAAGATAAGCAAACAGTTTTGACAATTTTATTTCATTCAATCGGCAAAAACTTCACATCTTTTCGTTCGAACTTCTGTGCTACTTGCAATTGAATTTTCCTCTATCGTGTAAATCATTTCCCCGGAAACATCGACAAAACACGAGGCAGCCATTTTATAAGTTAGAGAATCACCTCGCGCGAGGTAATTATAGCGAGATAGGCAACGCAATCGTCGACCAATCCGAGCGCGCACATCTCTGTATCACCTAGGCAATTAAACTAAAAGTATTTAAAATACATTTGTGAAATAAATCTATAACTTCAAATAATCTTCTTGTAACTTTACAGGAAAAGTTCTGACGACAATTTTCCAATAAAATTTCCCCCAATTTAAATGTGCAAAAATACAATTTATCTTATTTACATTTTTAAGCCTACAATCACCTGTGATTCTAGAACTCTTCGGGAGAGAACTTTTCAAAGTACAAGTGGTTTGATATGACGCCCTTTTTCCCAGTATACAAGAGTGAATTCTTTTTATTTAAAAACTACGTATGCTTGACACTCGTCCTGAAACAATTCGACGGGGGTGGGGAGAGGAATGGTTTAAATTAATTCTCTGTAGGATTTCCTTTAAAATTCCAAATCAGTAGAAATAATTCTCGATACATATGGGTCATTAACCAAGCGTGATGTCAAGATGGCTGCATATTGGTCGAGTTCTTTTTTTGCATTTTTATGGACCGAGACGAAGTCGAGGTCCATAAAAATGCGAAAGAAGAACGAGGCTAATATCCAGCCATCTTGACCGAACAAGCTTGGTTAATAAAAGATTTGTTATTTTGCAAAAAGATTTCGCTTTAATAAGAATTAGGAATGACTTGTTTACTTCGAGAGTCTGGAAAGAAAGCAAACTGTGTTTGTAGCACAACAAACTCACAAGAGTCGTTTCTGTTTTCTTTGTTTTGACTATCTTCTGCCACTTTTTGCGTTTTCCATCGCCGAAATTGTCCAAGAATTACGAACGTAGTTAATAATATTAACAATTTTATTATTTCTATAGCGCAAAATCCATTAGATATATTATCTAGTTCTAACTCTATATTTTTTTTTATCATGCACAGGATCAATGCGGGCAACCCGAGCGAGCAAGATGAGCGAGCAAGATGGGCCCATCTTGCCTGCTTGGGTAGCCAATCAGAACACAGGATTCGCTTCATCTTGTCCACGGGCGCTGCGAGCGATGTAATAAATATAAATCCCATATCTCGTACATCTAATTCTAAGATTCAGCTGTGGTCAAAGAGATTTTGTCACAATAGGATGAACGTCCTTTATCTCTCTGACAGTCACTGGTAACATGTGCTCATGTTCATCACCAACAAACTTGGCCGGCATGATGGCATAGTATGGCATGTGACAATGAGGTCTGTTGAGCGCAGGGTAATACTGTCGATAACAAAGATAGGCGAAGAACAGACCTGGAACAAAGAAACGTTTTTAATCGATATTTTTGGGAGAATACCACCTCATACTTGCAGGGTGCACACAACGCTTCTGGAGATCAAACCATTCACGGTTTGTCAATCTTGAAAATTCAAGCCTAATTTTATCAAATTAATCCACGCGAATCTTCTCCATCTGTTAAAAACACTAGTTACATTTTGCTGTAATCCTTAGTTTTTTTGTGTATTTATATCTAACACACCAAGCCATAACTCTTTGTTATTCCTAAAGCTGAGGGTAAATTTAAATGACGTGGAAAATCGACTCATATCTATCTTCTTCAAAAACGAAACTCCTTGTCAAACTTAAGAGAAAATGACCACCTCTGTCAGGTTCCCGTGGTAAGGAAACGCGATATCACGAAATCTTCAACCAATGCTCAATGCAAAACAGATGAAAAGAGAGCGAACTCGTTAATTCTTTAATCTTTCATTTTAAAAACACACTTTTTCAATCACTACTGAATCCAGAGTGCTTGAACGAAGGAAAATTACGTTACAAAACAAAAGGTGTTGCAACACGATGTCCGATCATTTTGTCGAATGTCAACTCACTGACAACCAACTCGCCCACACCATTAGTCAACTCATCAACAATTGTCTTTGGTCTTTGATAACCTATCAAATAACAAAAATCAGTGTCGGCGAGTTGACGGAAGTTGTTAGCGAAATGGAAGTCGGCAAGTTGACCGGTGTTGGCGAGTTGACCAGTGGTGTAAGCGAGTTGACCAGTGGTGTCAGCGAGTTGACCAAACGTGTCAGCGAGTTGACTAATGATGTCGGTGAGTTAGTTACCGCTAACCTACAATAACCCTCAAGAGATGTTAACAATGCCACTCACCTATCATAGCACCAACCATTATGTCTGTGAAAAAAATGATAGTGATAAGAAAACAGTTCAACTTAATTCTTGTTTTAAGGTTCCTTGCTACTGTGTTCCTGCTTAGCACCTATGCACAAATTTTTTGCTTCCTGTTTCTTACTTCTCATCAATTGGTACAACAAATAACAAATAACAGTCTATTGTTTGGATTGAATGTACACTGGAAGGGAGAATGCTTTTTTTTTCTGATAATTATTCTCTCTCTCTCTCTCTCTTGCTCAATTTGCGTAAAATAAAAGTTCAAGGCATAAGTATCTTAAGCTCCATGTGAACTGTTAAATGATATTCTATTCAAGGCCAGATTCACTTTTGAGTGTCATAATGCCATTTTTTTACAGCTTCCAGGAGTTTCCATTTGTCAGACTTCCTTGTATAAATAATTATTACAAAACTGCTATCAACAAACCCTGTGATTGTAACCTCACTATCGTCTAATATACCTTGCCAGTGATGACGATAGTCTGAATATCGGGTGAGTGCCAATGCCATAGCAACAATCACAGGAGCTAACGCAATACACAGCTTCCACCCTTGTCCTCTTCCCTGAGCTTGAAAGCAGTGTAACTTTCCCGCAAGATAGAGAGAGATAAAGCCAAGGCCACAAAAGGCAACTGCAAATTGAAGAAATACACAAACAGTACAAATTAGGCAGTCCCACCACAAAAAAGGTGGCTGTGATGATCCTGTGGGATGATCTGGATCTGCATCAGTGATTCAAGATCACTCAAACAGTGAAGTATCATAAGAGTTGATGAATCCTGATCCATAGACTGATTCACAGGCTGACTTCATATGCAGTGATCAGATCCACTCATGACTGATCCAGATTAGACACACTGGGGGTAAAAAAAAGTTGAACTCTTGCATTTGAGCTGAATAGCCCAGGTTGCAGAAGTTCATCTCTATTTATGGTAACTTAAAACATAGTTCCTCCTCTGCAATGAAAGGAAACTTCAGCATAGGTAACACCAGGATTTTATCAAGTTTCATTAACAATTCCCCAATTCCTTGGGGAAAGTGGCAACATGAGAGTTTAGTTTCTTGGCAAAGAACACAACACTGTGACCGTGGCTAAACTTAAAAGCTCAAGGCAGAAACTTTTGATCCACAGTCCAGCAAGCTTACCATGGGCAAACTTTACCTTCCACCGTACATAAGGGTGAGACAGCCCTGGACTTTTTTCTATAGAGGTTTTGCACAGCAGCCATGTTGGATGGCAGGAACAATGAAAATATTTGCATAAGAAAGATATTTTTTTCCCATGGGTAAAATAATCTATTGTTCCTGCCATCCAACATGGCTGCTGTGCAAAACCTCTATTTTGTTGATTGTAGGGTTTTTCTCAACTTTATGAATTTTATGCTTATCGGTAATCTGTTTCTTAAAAACAATGGAGTTCCCTTCAAGAAATCTCTTATTTTCAGAAACTCGTACCCTGCCTAGAAATGATTGCTTACATGATGAATGACCACTTGGAAAACTTTTCCTGCCCTCAATTATTTCATCTGGGTTGCCATCACACTCTATACTTGCTGGAATAACTCCATTAGGATAACAACGCCAGAAGTAGTCTGGGCGAGGCCTGAAAAAACAACTCAAGCATGTGAGAACTTTTCATGATACTTCTACTCAAGAATCTCTACAAAATCAAGTTTGCTTTGTTATTTTTAAAAATTAGAAGCCAAGTTATGTGTAGGTTTTGCTATAACTGTAGGAAAGGTGAAAGAATTAATATTCAACTGGAGAAAAAACCTGCATACTAAAATCCCTCTGCTAGTAATTTAACAGACAATAAAATCAAATAAGGCCCTTACCTGCCTACAAGAACTTTCACTATGTTTGTCACAACTCCATTGAGTCCAAGAGTTAATGTTAAAGCTGGAGAGCAAACAAGGATAATGAATTAACAAATGAATAAGTAAGGTGACCTGATATGAAAGATACAGGGATACAAATTGGTGGACAAAAACAAAAAAAGAAAGATAGTTAACCATTTCACTATCATGATCTCCTTAGCTATTCTCCTAACTATCTGCCATACAATTCTTTTGATGTTACTTTGGATAATTTGGAGTTGGATCAACTAATAATCCCTTAATTGATATTTTCCTTTATTCTTGTTGCTTGTCTGCTTGATGTTGTATTGATATTGTAAGGAGAAATTCTGTATTTGGCCACTCATGGGACTTAAAGGGTTAACTTTAAAGAGGAAGTGAGTGTTTACCACAGTTTACTCCTACAAGTCTATACCTAAAATGGCTTGTATGCCATCAATTTTGTCCTTTCTTAGTCCTCCTAGTAAAAGGATTAGAGCAGCAGGAAGAACTGCAGCTATCACCTGCAAAAACAAAAGCAAAAACTTAAATAAACAGTGACACATACTGTACAGACAGTTCTTATGCCTCTATGGACAGATAAAGAAACTCTCATCAATTGTCATACTGCATCACTTATTGAGGCTTTCTACAATATTAAATCATAGACCTCTTTCATAATGGTGGACATAATAAATGTTCTGTTACATGAATATAAATAAGCCTTTTTACCATTGCTTAAGAGCAATTAGCAATTAGACCCACTACATTCAAAAGAAGGCCATAGGAGTCTGTCATTTATATTTCAAAAGCAACATTTGCTTATTCCATTGATCATGACCTCTGATAGAAATAAATAAATAAATAAATAAACTGACAGTCTATCTAATAATCAAATTGGGTTTTGGGGAAAAAACAAAGAGTTACCAAATCTTTCAGCCCTCATAAAAACTGTGGTGTTTTGGCTCCTTAAATGCTGATACATGTTGCTGAAGGCATGTAACTATAGCTACAGAAAAACACAAAACATCAACTTACAAAAAGCATTTCTGTTGAGATTGTGTTTTTGGATTTAGGGTTTTTGTAAAGCCACATTTCTTCATCATGAATGACACGCACAAATGCTGAAGTATACTCCAGTGCTCTGAGAAGAGATGAAAATGCTTGCTAACTTAAAAAAAATGTTGATTACTCTTAATGTGTATAAATATAACTTTATTCTCTAGCAGTACACTTGAAACCCATGCATTTTATCAAAAATGCAAGTGTGTTTTTGGTTTTGTGCTGCTAGTTTAGTTGGTCAGACTGTTCAACAACACATGTATATGTTGTGGTTCAATTTTATCCTTGGTTTAAATTTTATTTTCCATTGTTTTTGGTTATGGTAACGTATGATAATAGGGTTGAAACAATGGAAAATAAAATTTAAACCAAGGATAAAATTGAACCACAACATATATTCAAGTTATTCTTCTGATATGATAAGATTACAGATTGATTAGTAAGAATAATAATAATAATAGATGTTTATTCACAATCAATAAAAAGTAAAAAGGAGATAAAAGAGGTTATCCCTTCCTAGTTTATCTCCTGATAATAAAATAGATTACGACATTAATTTAGATACAACATATACATATATAATACATCAAAAATAAGAACTTAGTGTTAACTAGCAAAATTTACGAGGTGACTTCTCAGTCTATTCTTAAGAATATTCAAGTTTGCCGCCTTAGCGATTTCCTTTGGCAGATTATTCCAACTATTAATTATACGTATAAAAAATGAATATTTGTAACTATTTAAGGTCGCTGATGCAAACTTAAGTTTAAAATGGTGATTGGCTCTTAAAGGCTGAAAATCGTGTGCAAACGTGAAAAATGCCGAGGGATCAAGTCCATAAAGTCTACTTATTGTCTTAGAACACTCGTTAAGTGACGAGAATAATCTTCTTTGCTCAAGTGTTGGCCATTTAAGAACTTTTAAGCACTCTCCATAGGTCATATCTTGCCCAATTTTTCCAAGGGCACATTTGGATGCTCTACATTGTACCTTCTCCAAGGTGTTTTCAAGAGTCTTTTTTAAGGTGCGGATGTTGTGATTCAAATTTAATCTTTGGTTTGAATTCTTTTAAACCAGTTTAAATTTTTCAAACTGGTTTGAAATTTTCAAATTGGTTAGTAATTTTTAACTTCTTTCCCTTCTGAGGTTAATAACTTGCCATTTGCATATTTCCACTTTTTTCGCTTGATGTTGTTGATTTCTGCCTTTGAAAGCTCCGGTGTTTTGATCGAAGGTGCAATGTCAAGCTCTTGTTCTGTGACTACTTTGAGATAATTTGTCACTCAATGATAGAACTCTTCTTCTACAAACACATTTACTCATGATTCGTTTGTCTTTAAAGACCCTTTTAAGCCTTTAATTTTGGCTTCAAACATTTCTTAAGGAACACAATTGGCAATTTCGTGCAAGGCCTCCATGCTTCACTTGCTAGAAATGGGCATGTGCAGATTTGTTTAATATATGCAGTATGAATAAATTATGATTTTGATGGAGAGGAGCCTGGGACGAATGGGTAATAATAAGACAAAGAAATAAGAGTGAAATTGCAATGATTGATTGTGTGGTCAAGTGGATAAGGAAGAGTACTCCAAATCCAAAGGTTGGGAGTTCAAATCCTGGTGAGTACTAAGAGATATAAAGAAAGGGAAAAAAGGTATAGTTAGATATTATGGGGGGTTAGACAAAAGGTAATGAGAGGGGTTTGGAAAAAGTAGATTTATGAAGGGAATGACAGTATAAGGAGGGAGAAGTGGTTTGTTGAACTTAAAAAAAACTAACGGTAAAAAACTACGACGTTTCGAAGTCTGCATGACCTCATTATCAAGTAAAATGTTAAAACTGATGTAAAATTGTAGCTCAGAGATTATATACAAATAAAATGTGATAACTTCATTAGAATAATGAGCGTTCATTGTTATTGGTGTTTAGCATGTCAGATCGTGCAGTATATGTTTAAATAAATACTTTTGCACGTATTGAGTCAGACTGCGTGTTTAGCTTTGGTTTTTGTTCGCGAATGAATAGCATTTCGTGAATTAGGCAGTCCATTTTTCCGCGGCATTTCTTGAGAACGGAAAACATTTCCTCTAGGCTAGTGGACGCTACACTGTGGGCTTCTTTCAGATGCTTGCCAATGACAGAGGCTTTATGTTCTTCTATGCGTTGATGAAGATGGCGTGTGGTATAACCGATATAATCCGCATCGCACGAATCACATTTAAAAGTGTAAACAACGCATTGGTGGTTAATTAAAGCGGGCTTCTCTTCTTGTATCTTGAGCTTTCCCTCGATCTTACGACTCGTGAAAACTGGTTGTAGGTCAGTTCCGATTTTCCGGCCAAGATCTTTCAGCTGATGTCTTACTGTGTCGGCCGATTTTTGGTCTTTAAATGGTAAAGTTATTCTGACAGGTTTTTGTGTAGCCGCGTCAAGTTCAGTTGGGGTTTCGTGACGGCTTTGGATCGTAGAACTCGTGTACCAGGCGATAGCTGAGTTGATGAGTTTCACTGGGTACTTAAGCTTAGTAAACATCCGCTTGAGATGCTGGCATTCCTTCGTAAAAGATTCTTTCGTTGATGACAGGCGGTAAGCTCGGTTCAGCATTGTATTCAGCAGAGATCTTTTGTAACGCTGATCGACATGGCTCTGGTAATGTAAGAGCAGTCCTGTATCAGTTGGTTTATGATATACGCTTGTTGTCAGGTGGCAACCGTTTTTCTCAATCATCATACCGAGGAATGGAAGCTTGTTGTTTTCAGCAATTTCCATTGTGAACTGTATGGCAGGATGGCATTCGTTCAATGTTGAAAGGAAAGCTGTTGCGGCTTGAATATTTGGCATCGTGGCTAATGTGTCATCGACGTACCTTTTGTAGAAACTTGGTAACTTGTTGTTGCGATCCAGTTGTTCTTCAATGGAGCACAGGAAAACGTTTGCCATAAGGGGTCCCAGGGGCGAGCCCATGGCCACACCGTCCACCTGCTCATAAAGTTGACCGTCGAACTGAAATAGCTGATCTTTGGTTGCTATTCTTAAAAGTTCGGTAAGACCTGTCTTTGTGAGGTTGAGACCATGCGTTTCATTAAACCAGTTGTTTTTAAAGGCTTTTTCAGCGATGATCTCAATAGTCTCGTCGAGTGGCACGTTGGTAAATAAAGCACATACGTCATACGACACGAGAATGTCATTCGGGTTGAGTGGTGTTTCCCTTATCACTTCGGCGAAGGAGAAGATATCGCAGATAGTGTGCTGATTTAATGAAAGGGGCTTAAGCTTCTCTTCAAGCCACTTGGCCAGGGCGAAGTTGTAGGTCCCAGTCGATGATAGTATCGGTCGCATTGATAGTTGCTGTTTGTGAGTCTTTGGAAGACCATAAAGGTGAGCAAGCCGGGAACCTTTGCGACAAACTGTGTCAGCAATCGGCTTTGGCAGGATTTTTCTGACGACGGACTCCAGCTGTTTTTCTTTTTGTAGTAAGGGATGGTAGTGTTTAGGAGGCCGGCCGCGTGTTTTTGGTCTTTCTGTGTTGATAGGGGTGAACTTCGTTGTGTCTTTGATGGAAGCATCACTTAGTAGACGGATGTACTCTGTCTTGTCCATTACTACTACGCCAGATCCTTTGTCGGGTTTTGTAATGACAATGTCTTCCCTTCGTCTAAGTTGATTTATGGCTTGTTGCAGTGCTTTGGGTGGTCTTGGGCCTCTCCTTTGAATATAATTCAGGGCAATCGAGCGAAGAGTCGCGGCGGCTAATTCTTTTTGGTCCTCCGGTAATGTGGGTTCAAGTCGCCAGTAAGCTTTTTCAAAGCTGGCTTTTACATCACGAGCTGGCACAGGTTGAGCGATGGAGAATTTCAAACCACGGCAGAGAACTAACTTTTCAAAGAATGACAGTCGGTACGATGAGATGTTTGTAATGTGTTCGTCAACGTCAAATTCCTTGTTAATTAACCTTGCAATCTTTCTCGTGTGGTTGGTCATTACGTCTTCGTAAAGTTTCTTTCGAAGATCTGTCATAACGCGTAAGGTAAGCATGTACTGTAGCGGTGAACATTGTTGGCGGATTTCGTCATAGATGGTGTTCATTTCCATCTTTAACATAGCATTCTGTTTCACTTTTGATCTTAGCTCCTCGGCGATGACATTTGTTGAGAACGCTTTCGATGATTGTTGCCAGTTCTTCGACTTCGTCTGGTCGACTTTGGCGAAGGTTGGTGTAAGATCTACATTCTGGCAAAGGCGAAGAAATTCAATGGCTCCATCACATTTGATTTGCTTACTGCTT